GCTTTCATTTCCCTTGGTTAAATACCTGGTGTGAGATTGCTATACGGTAAATGTATGTTTAGATTGATAAGAAACTCAGGGCACAGACATTTTAAGTAATATTGGTTGAATGAATGGTGCCCTGGCACCTGAATTAAAAAAAAAGTTTTTATTGATTTCAGAGAGAGGAAGGGAGAGGGAGAGAAAGATAGAAACACCAATGATGAGAGAGAATCATTGATCGGCTGCATCCTGCACGCCCCTTACTGGGGATCGAGCGCACAACCCAGGCATGTGCCCTGACCTGGAATAGAACAGTGACTTCCTGGTTCATGGGTCGATGCTAACCACTGAGCCATGCTGCTGGGCCGGCACCTGCATCTTAAATAAACTCTTCCGGTACAGCCAGGTGTTGGCTCCTTTCCTTCTGATTTTCATCTGTGGGGCCCAGGGATTTTACACCCAAACCTCAGCCCTCGAGGGGACCCAGGGTTGAGGTTCTGACAGGTGGATTCCACTTCAGAGGACTGACTCAGCCCATGAGCTTAGCATTATGATGGCTGGTAATTATTTGGTAAATATACTATTGCCACCTTGCCGTCCTGTGTCCTGCATTTTCTGACTTTTTATGAGCCTGTAGGGTTCTTCCTGTTCTTCTGGGGACGATGCAAAATGAAGTGTCCATTTGTTCATTCATTCATTCATAGAAACGTTTGTGAAAAGAAAATCTCTGCTTTCAGTGAACGTTCAGGATGGGGAAGGATGCCATGTATAAGCAAATAAATAAGGTAATCTCAGGGAGCATTACATTCTGTGAGGAAATACAATAGGGTAGTAGATGAGGGGGACTTGAGGTAGGGTAGCAGGGAAATCCTCTTGGAGTGGGAACTTTTTAAAAAATGTATTTTTATTGATTTCAGAGAGGAAGGGAGAGAGAGATAGAAACATCAACGATGAGAGAGAATCATTGAGCGGCTGCCTCCTGCACACACCTTATAGGAGACTGAGCCCACAACCGGGCATGTGCCCTTGACCAGGATTGAACCCGGGACCCTTTAGTCCGCAGCTCTATGCACTGAGCCAAACCGGCTGGGGCGGAGTGGGAACATTCGAAGCAAGAGGAGTCAGCTTTCTAGCTGCTCTGTAGCCATATAAGTCTATGGAGCACTTGAAATGTGGCTAGTTAGAACTCAGGTGTGATTTAAGTGTAAAATATACACTCGATTTCAAAGCTTACTATAGTATCTCATTAATATTTTTTCTGTTAGCAACAGGTTGAGATAATACTATTCAGGACACATTGGATTAAATAAAGTACAGTATTAATTTCACTTTCCTTTTTCTTTTTAAAAAATTGTGCCAACTCAGTACATTTAAAATCACCACATGGTTTGCATTGTCTTTCTATTGGGCAGCAGTGGTCCGGGAAGAAAGCACCCTAAGTGGTGAGAATGGCAAAGGAAGGCTCTGAGGCATGTGCCCTGTGGCAGAGTGTGCCAGGGATAGAGGGGCAGAAATAGGAATGGGCCACAGCCAATAGGATCTTGGTGTCAACTCAAGTGAAGAATGGGTTTTAAGTCTAATGGGGAAGCCGTTTGGGGCAGGGAAGCGGCGTGGTCTGAATTCTGTTTTCACAGACCCCCGAGGCTGCTAAGCAGAGATCTGCCTGGGTTGGGGAGATGGTAGAAGGGAGAATCCTGAGTTTCCATAGGGTCTGCAGCCAGATTCACTTGGGGCCC